TCAACACAAATACAAGCCCTTGTTGGACTACTGTAAAAAACCTCTAACTCCACACAATTCGTGACATTTTGAATTGAAAAAGCTTCCTGGATGGGAAGCGAAACGTCTTCAAACTTGGAAACTAAGTGCAATGGATTGTTCTTAATTATTTTTTTTTTTGGATTGACAAGAACTCCTATCCTAGTAGTTTAAATAGCCACACTTTGTCACTAAGGTGACACCATTAGCAACCCTGGAAATAGTTTAAAATTCACATTCACAAATGCATTTCGTCAGAATACAGCCAAAACATGTAATCAAATAAATTTTTTCGTTTATAAATTCTTGCTAACTTGTGAAGAACAAGGAACAGTTATTAAAAAGCAAACACTTGATGTAAGTAATAGAGGACATTCAATCAAAAAGTTCTAAGCAAATATAAATATTCAAAATAGTTGGCCTGAGTGGAGGTGTTTTCACCTGGGAAACCCTGGAGCACATCCTTGCACACATACAGAGTCCGAGCAATTAGATCTGAGGTGCTCAGCTGTGACTTGCATGGAGAAAAGGCCATTAAGACCTGCTAGACCAGGAAACATCATCTAATCTGTCCATTCCTCCCCGCATCACACTCCAATAACAGACATGTTACAAAGCTGCACTCAAAGTTTTTCACTGTGCATGTTAAATCTTCATTACCTCATAGCTGCATGCACACGCTCTGAATATAAATACACATCAAACTAATCCGGCTCCAGCTTCATTGTGGGACAAATCATTAAAGCAATCCTCCTTGGGTTCTCAGCTCACAGTTACACCACTTACAGCTAATTTTTAATAAGCATCACCAACTAAAATAAACCCAGAATTCTGCAGCTATTAATAATTAGGATACCTTACTGCTACACACTTAACCCACTTAAGAAACATTTAATTCTACTTACTAAAACAGTTAGCGTTATTTCACGCTGAAAGTGTCCTGAATGTTCCACCATTTGATTGAGGTGTGGATGCTGAGACATCTAAAAGTGGGGAGTAGAGTTAATGAGGGAACCCTGCTGTTGATGTTTCATGCTAGGGTTTCATCATTTTCGTGACTTTGAAAGCTTGCTTGACCAGAGTCCATTGTCAAAGGATTGTAGTGTTACTGTTGCTTGGAAAAGAGCTTACTGCTCCTCACATGCTTGGATCTGCAGGTCACTACCGATCCGAACCAGTACAACTCTCAGCTTATTTATGCAACCAGAAATGCATCCTGCTCGCACATGATTGTACTTTATAAAAAAAAGACCAAAAATTACTTTTTTGTCTCCTTAATTATAATAAGCATACTAAACTGCAATGTGTGAAAGATTAATAATTTATTTTCTGTTTGAATAAATGTGTTTACATCCTTTCCGTTTTGTCACTTTTCTGTGCCAGATCTACACCAGAAATGGGATCCTGCCGTACTTCTGGTACCAGATCTGCTTGGATGATCAGATCTGCTCTGGCTCTGTGCATGCCAGTAACGTTAGCCCAAATGATTTGCTGTACGTTGCGGCGACGACAAAGGATTGGGAGCATCTGTAGAGTTTGTCTATCTAACGATCGATGAAGTTTTACCTTATGGAAAATAAAACTAAAAAGATTGTTTTTGGTGAACTAAGTATATGCAAAAGCATGGTATAAAGGGCAGACAGTGCTCAGTAGCTAACAGGTACGCCCCTTCCAGCTTAGTTAGTTAGCCAAATGAAGCTACACAACTTTTAACATCATGTCAACGACAATCATCCATTTTCCGCAAGTAGTATATGTAGCGGCCAAAGTGGACTTTTAGTGTAACAGACTGTTCTGTGTCTGTATGTTAAAGTTGTGTCCATCCCTGTTGCCGGGGAGCGAAAGTTCCCTGGGTGTACGGCAGGGGGAGCTTGTGAGTTTTGGTTATGTGTTAGAAGAAGAAGAAGAAAATAAAAACCGGAAGCGGGGTTACCGCCGAAAACTCCGGCCCGTCTCCTGTCCCGTTATTGCATATAAAGTTCATAATACGGACCCAAAACGCTCGGTTACATTAGTTTAAATTAATAGAAATTGCTTAAAAATGCTTAAAAGGACAGATAATTTAATTTGAATTTCTAATTTCATAGATGGATATATTTCATGATTAAAATGGTAAATATTTTATGTGCAAAGTTAAAAGAACAAGAATTCATGTTTATAAGGTTACTTGGATTTTGGATAAAAAAAAATGTCGCTTTAAGGATGGACGAGCCGGCTTCCTCAGCCTCTCGCATTTTTATTTTTAGATTGCAAGGAACCGTGGAAGCAAACAGTCTTCTTACCTGTTGCTCTTCAACTTTATGACAGACTTTAAACCCTTTTATTTTCATCATAAGATATTTTTGTTAATTCATATACTTTTTGTAAGCTTTAAGAAGAACACTGAACTTCAGTTTTCATCTTCAAGACGTTGTGGAGTGAATTTATTTCAATTACATGGACATTCACAGTGGAAACAGTAACTTTGGTTCGGAGAATATCAGCGTAAGAAATAGCACTTTCCTTGCGGTCTCACCAAGATTAAACCTCTACAGTATAGCTTTTTTTTTCTTTGTCTAAAGTCTCCACGAAAGTCATTTTTTAAAGATATACCATTTGTCCTTGCTTGACCTGAAATTGAAACTTTTTGAATTAAAAAAGCTTCCTGGATGGGAAGCCAAATATCTTCAAACTTAAAAAAAAAATTATAGTGCATTGATTTTAAAATTTTTTAACATATTTTGAAAACTTTTAGTGTTACCTTCTTAAATGGCAGAGTTCAGTCTCTCCTAGAACACAGAAGATATTTTTCTACTTTCAGCTACTTTAAGTCACCAAAGAAACTGTAAAATAATTGAAAACATAGGTAATGGTAAGTTGAGACCCCAGAAAAGGTTTGATTCTTATGAAACAAATGCAGTACAGTTTGTCTGAGTGCTAATGGTATATTGTGACATCATCAGCAGGGGCAGATCTGACCACTCGAGCCAATTGGTACCAACACCTTCAGCTAATTCTTTTGGCTTTGGATTGAATGATTGGGTCTTTTGTTTGCCTTTTGTTGTACTTTTATAGTATGTAGTCCACAAACTAAAGAAAGACTTGACTAAAATGAAGATAATCATGGTGTAATCATATTTTGCTGGACTGCACAACCAATTCAACCTGAAAAATTGACACAAAGAAGACAGGCAATTAGACTTTTACTGATACAATATTTAAATCTTTGGCGCTCAGACCTCGGCGGGAAACATCTGCACTAAAATTTACTTTGATCATAGGAATGGACTGATGATTTAATGGACTGATGAAAGAATGAAGATGGATGGCAACATGAAGTATGAAGCGACGGTGGAGAGAAAAAACTCCCCTTGGAAAGAAATCTCTTGCAGAACTAGTCTCAACATGGCGGTCTTTTGGCAGAGCAGCTGGGGATGCTTTGCGAATGCAGTAAAGACCAGAGGAATTATCAGATGGGATGAGGCAGCAGGTGGAGAAGAGGGTGAACGGTTGAATCAAGGTCATCCGAGTCGTAGTCAGACATCGCAAGCCAAGTGAGTAGACACTTGAGTAGAATTTCTTTTAAACTGGATTCTGAAAGCTGATTGGACTTTGTGGGTTGCTTCAAAGGCAGATGAGCCTCTGATTGGATGAGGAAGTGATTCCATTTATTAAGTTCATTAAAATGCATTTAATTCTCTCAGACAAGTTCTTAAATAGTTTATGAGATGTAGTTAAGCATTCATTGGGGATTTAAGGATAGAAATAAGTACTTTCAGTCCCATTACAACATTATTTAGAGTGACCTGGATGAATACGGCGCATGCGGGAATAAGCCAAAGGTGCAGATCGTGCTTCCGGTACAGATGGGGTAGTGACACTGCATGCTAAGTGCAACTCTGTCTTCCCTTCTGTGTGGCAGCAAATCCACATTAAGAATATTATCTCCAAATGGCTGGAGTCAGAAAGTCAACGACTTACTGTTGTTAAATTTAACATGACAATAGCTGAGTGCCACTGTGATTTAAACATGTCATTATGTATAAGTGTCTAGCCCTAATTTGGATGCATTTTTGGCCAAAGCTGTTCACCTCACCTTGTCACCAACAGGACATATAAAAAGATGAAAAATACGATTTAGCGTAATGATACATGCTGAAAGTTTACCAAAAAAAGTAAAGCTATGAGTAATACACACCCACACCTTTAGAAAGGTTTCAGCCAAAAAAACAAAACACCCACTGCCGTGTCAGTCCATGCCATGGATATGCATGAACTGGTTATATGCAAAATGCACCGTGGCCTATAGATATATCTACAGACCCCTGGGTTCCACAGAGAAGGCAAAATATGCTGCAGAAACAAATATCTCATTAAATTACAAATCATAGAAAAGTTCACCTGTTTCAGCTATTAAATTCAAAACGACTTTTCTATATTAATCTCTTATCTTATGAAAAGTAATATCAGTTATATACATAAAAATAAGCAGAAATAAACATTGAGGTAAATCCCCATCCATATTTTTTTCTATTTTTGACATAAAATAGAGAAATAAATTTACCTGTTTATAAAGTTTTAATTGACCAAATTATTCCTTTTTTATCCACCTTTTCATTTTACAGTTTAAACTCTCACTAATACATAAAGTCCCATTTTACATATTATTCACATTTTCCCACATAACATACCTTTACATAAGCAGCACTAATTATTTAAACAAAAATGAAATACATAAAACACACACATACTTTCAGGTCACCTTTTAAAGGCATGCAGTCTTTCCAGGGAAGATCTTGCATGCAGGTGTGAAAGAGGTTCACAAATCAGTGTAACTGTCCAGTCACACTCAGAAACAAACACACAACTAACAGAAAGCATTAAAATCAGAAACAGACAAAGTGGGCCTACATCCTGCCATTCTTAGCAAGGACAGCTCTGCCAAAAGTAAATCCTCTAAACATTCGGTTATGTAACGTAGATATTTTGAGAACATGACTTACATTGTGGGGAGACACTGTAAGAACACTTCTGCTTTTCCTCATCTTTCCTCCCCACTAGAGTCCAAACTCTGATGCTTCACATGCAAACCTAGAAAACAGAGAGAGTTAAATTACAAGCTGTTTACAGCTAAATCTGCAACAGGAAATCCAGCGTTCAAAAGATTTGATGTGTAGGATGATAACATAGCCATTTATATCTCCGATACTTACAAGAGAGGTCAAAAGCAGAATCTATATTCTTGTAAACGGTGCTTATACAATAATTGATGAAGAGCAATTAATTTGATATCACGCTTTGCTGCTAGTACAGTGCAATATGTGCCATGGTAACTGTAATTACTTAGGAGAGCGTTTCCACAGAAGTCATTAATCTTATTGAATGGCTTTACAAAAGGAAAAAAAACTGAGTTTATGTCAAACCATTACCCTGACTGTCACATTGTCTCGGTTACAAGCGCCAGTGCGAGTACTATTCATGCTTTTATCTCCTTACGTTTAAACTATTGCAACAGTCTTTTTACTTGTTTGAGCAAGAAGGAGCTTTACCGTCTCCAGGTTGTCCAGAACTCTGCTGCAAGGCTTTCAACTCACATTAACAAAAGAGAACTCATCACACCAGTAGTAGCAGCTCTGCACTGGTTACCAGTCAAGTGTAGAATCCA